ACAGATACTTCCAGACATTTACAGACACTTACAGATGCTGACAAACATTTACAGACATTTACAGATCTTTACAGACACTGACAGACATTTACAGATCTTTACAGACACTCACAGACATTGACAGACATTTACAGACACTGAGAGACATTTACAGACACTGACATACACCAATGGACATTTACAGACACTGACAGACATTCACAGACACTGACATATGTTTACAGACACTGGCAGACATTTACAGACACTGGCAGACATTTACAGACACTGACAAACATTTACAGATGTTTACAGACACAGACACAGTCAGATATTTACAGACATTTAGACACTAATAGACATTTATAGACATTTACAGAAACTTACAGACACTGACATTTATAGACATTTACACGCATTTACAGATACTTACAGACACTAACATTTACAGACATGCAAATTTACAGACATTTGCAGACACTGACAGATATTTACAGAAACATACAGACACTGTCAGGCATTTACAAACATACACAGACATGGACAGACATTTTGGTGGTAATTTCTCCACTTTATGAAAAAAATAAAACTACAGCAGCTTCTGCAGGATTCTCATAGCTAATAACGTTAGCGTTAGCTTCCTAACTGTAGTGTGTTCCCTGATCAAACTCTTTACAGAGTAATTGTATAGTCTGGGGCAGTAAGAGAGTTTTTACTGCACATTCATAAACACACTGACCAAAACAGAACCAACAGACCTGCTTGAGAGAGCTAGATCGTTATAATAACCATGATTAACAATTTGATGGCCATATTTGAAGTTGGCTATCTTGATTGCTAGTTATCTTATCTTATTAGCTGATTTGAAATGGAGTAATATACTGCACTATTCTGCACTCACTCTCACACAAACATCTTACACAGTTAGGAATCAAATAAAGTTTGTTTTTTTCTGTCGAGATTGAAAATAGGGGTAAGAAAAACACTCCTTCTGAGGAGAATAGCATAAATGCTAATAGCTTAGCGTTTGTCAGCTTATGCACACACATTATAAAGGAGGAGATGGTCACGGGTTGGAAAAGCTCCTAATGCTCAAAATGGCGTCAGTTTACAGAGAATGTCCCAACGATATTGTTGTATGAGCGGAGAAAGCCTGAAAAATCATGTTTTTTATGCTTTCTTGAGCTACACGCTACAAACTATTTATGAAGAATTTATAAAATTTATGATTTTATCAGTGATTTTAAATCTGTTGAAACATTAATTTCACTTCAGTTTGTAGTATTTTGGTCTTTCCTCATTCAGAGAGAGGAGTCTGGTCAGACTTTCTAAATAGTGAAATACAGAAACCACAGATATTAAAGATCATTATATAGCAGCACAGCAATATTATACATTATTATAGACAGTTGATATCAGCGCTCATTTGTGTTTCTGCAGGACGTCTGAAGAGCCCGTTTTTCACACAGTCCATCAGCAGTAACACACCCACCCACAAGACATCCCATAATTCCCCTCCAGCCTCCAGGCCCCCCGCCCACACTGCCCCGACTTTTCCACAGCAGGATTCAGGTCTGCAGCAATTCTCACCAATCAATAATAATAAATCACTTCGATCAGTAATAATCAGCCTACTGTAACTCGCCGCTGATGTTGTTGTTTGTGTTTTTGTTTGTTTCTTGTTTACTTTCAGAGCCGTTCTCTGACAACCCGTTCAGCGCTGAACATGATGAAGAATCAGACGAGGAGTGGCAAGGTTCTCCACACATTCTTGGTTTGTGTTCTGCGTGATGCAACATCTCTGTTTAACATCAGTCTGTTTTTCTGATTGATGTACAGATTCTGAAGACGAGGATTCATACCATACTGAGGTTTCTGAGGAAAACATCTACGATCAGGTTCCTTCACATCAGCCTTCACACCAAACAGTTCATCAGGTAAGTTCCAAATCAGAGCACACCTGCAGATTGATTCAGATTCTGTTCTTTATGAAACAGATTCTGTAATGGGGTCTTCCTACACATTCGGCATATCATGTAGAGCTGACATGACCAAAATGATAAATATTAAGTAAAATTTTGGCTACATTCACATAAAAATTCACTTGAAGTGAATAAATCCTTTGTCAGTACAAAAAAATGTGAGAAGAAAATTTGCAGAATAAATTATGTGAATAAATAAAGTCACAACTGATCAGGCTGAAGTTGGCTTCGTATTTGATTCTCTGTTCCTCCTTAAATGGAGTCTCGGGAGACAGAACGTAACTGCTGCACCATTTAAGGTGGAACGGAAAATTTGAACAAAAAGCTGGTGAATTCAGACAGACGGAACTGCAGCTGATTAATAAACATTTCTTAAACTGTTCCGTTAGTCAGTGTGTTCTGTCTTTACGCTCTTACGATGTAAAATACAGCCATAAAATTAAACACAGCAGCAGTGAGAAGCTGCTCAATATTAAAAAGAGCTCTGTAAACTCACTCTGTGAGTGAGTTTTATCACCCTGACGTACAGTTTTATTCTCTTCTACACAAACTCGGACTGATTCACGTCATTATATTACAATAATTTAGCTCTTCTTTAGAGATTAACTGAATAGCTGGACTGAAGTGTGGCTGCTGTGAGAGGAAGTGATCATGGGCCATGTCCCAAACTGAAGGCAGCTGTCTCATAACTCAGTTCCTCAGAAGACAGCTTTGTGGTAAAGTTACCTGCAACTGAATTGCACTGTAGATCCGTTTTGAATGCAGTGATATGTTACTGCGCTGCCATGATGTAAAAGCTCACTGCTAGCTGTTAGCGTTAGCCATTAGTGTGTTCTAAGAAGGCATACTGAACTTTTTTTTTATATAACCAAAATGTGGGAACAATTCGCGTCACAGAAACCTGCTCTACTGCTCACAAAATGACCAACATTTCACTGGGTTTACTGGCTAGGCTAGTGCAGCATTAGCACACCTTAACTTAGTTTAGCTTATGTTAGCTTACATTTGCAAACTGACACTTTAAACAGAATATCAAAACAGACATAATTAAGAGCTGCCTTTCGTACTTAGAATTAAAAAAAAATCCTAAATGCAGGCAGTAGCTGTTTAGCTCAAATTAGTTTAATATAGAATTTGTTCTTTTAACCTCATCAGCGTTGACACACAGGATTATGGGAAATGTAGGTATTGAAGGATCTACGCTGCCTTCGAAAACAACTGAGCGGAGGACCCTCAGCAGCGTTTATACAAACATTTGTTTGAACACGACTGCAAGCTTTTCTGCCTCAGAGTACTCACCACCTTTCCACAATAAATGCATCCATGAACATTTTCTTTGGGTAATATGTAAATTTATGAAATATATTGTGTTTGTATGGAAATTGTGTGCACATTGATTAGCTGTGCCAATGTTCTCAGAGTGAATCAGACTAAACGGGCTTATGTTGATGTTTCTTAGACGGAGGAGTTTCCTGAAGGTCAGGGCTTCAGTGTGAGGGCGCTGTACGACTATCAGGCTGGTCAGTCTTAAACTCGTTTATTAAATTTATATACAATCAACAGAGAAAAATTCAAAATCATTTAATGCTTTTTAAAGCTAAAATGAAACCTGTTTTTCTCTTCAGCGGACGAGACGGAGATCACCTTTGAACCTGGTGATGTCATCACTGAAGTAGAGACGTTGGATGAGAGCTGGTGGCAAGGTCGCGCTCCTGATGGGCATTATGGCATGTTTCCTGCCAATTATGTGGAGCTCATTTAAATCTGCATTTCTGGAAAACACTTCAGTAAAATTCTCCACATCTGCAGTTTGATCAATAATGTTTAATAATGTTTAATAAGAGCTAATTGATTAAACTCTGAAACAACAGATTTATTTTAATGTTTTGTTTTATTCAGACTGCTGTCACACATGTGCCCTCTGAGAATCATTTGTAACTGTATTTCTGTATTTCTGCTCACATAAATATGAATATATATAATAAACTATTCAGATACTCTGATCTGTTTTCATTTTGTGGTAAATCTTTTCTCTGTGTTCTACAGTACTGAGATCATTCGTTAGGAAGATCACAGCACGCAGTTTAATGGTAGTTTGAGTATTTTTGTTGTACATTATTATATATTTGTCATTGATCTCTTGCTGGCTCTGTACCAAACACAGCTCTGAGCCCAGCTCGCCATGTAAAGGGCGAGTGCTCAAGAGTTTCAGGTTTATCATCATCATCATCAACAGCAGCAGCGTCTCTTTTATTTATATAGTGCCTTTTCCATGGTGGGGGTTTCACTGGGATTCCACGGTACAGAGTCACTTTGCTTGCCCGAAAAAAGTCCTTATCCATGGGAAAAAAGTCTCACTCCGCAACTACAGTGCATCACACAGGTGGCGGTCCAGGAAGCCTCAAAGGCCGAAAATACTGCTACGGAGAGCTGTTTTTTATCATTACTGCTACTGAGAGCTGATTGGTTTGTGATCTGATCAGGTCAATGCCTGAGTGAAGCAGTTTGCACTCACTGGCATCATGAATGTTTATGAGGCATTGTTATAAAGTCCTATAACTGGAATTCAAAAGGTCTCAAAAATAAAAAAACGGTGTTGAAATATTTTATGCTATTCTGTTCAGAAGGTTTGTGTAATTCTGTACATTAAAATGATTAGGCACTTACAGTTTAGAATTTTGCACAAAAGCTCTATAGGAGCGCAATCATTCTGGATTCGCTCGGCTTCAGTAGAGCGCCCCCTGTATCTAGTGCCCTGATGTACTTCTATGTATTTAAGGTTCAGGAGTAAGTGTTTAGGGTTTATTGTCTAGGGGTTAGAGTTTAGGGATTAGGATTTACTGTTTAGGGATTGGAGTTTAGGGTTTGGGGTTTGGGGTTTAGGGGTAAGTGTTTAGGGTTTAGAGTTTAGGGATTAGGGTTTAGGGGTTAGAGTTTGGGGATTAGGGTTTGGGGTCTAGGGGTAAGTGTTTAGGGATCAGAGGACGCATTGGGACGAGTCTTGCTTCCTGCGTGACGTAACTGCCCGTATGCCCTCCACTACGCATGCTCTTCGAGCTTCCCTCAGAGTAACGATGGCGGCGCGCGCTCTGCTTGCTTCCACTTTGCGCGTGTCGCGGCTGGCCGGTCGCATCGCGCACGTGAGGTGCGCGAGCGGAGGAGGTGATCAGAACAACTCTTTATTCTGATTATTGTCGATGATAGTGATTAAATCTGATGTAGGACGCTGTGAGAGTCTGACTGAGCGGCCAAGGACACACTGACCCTGTTAGCGTTAGCATTAGCGTCCTGCTGATAAATACTGCCGTGTCTCCAATCTGCGGTTTATTTATATTTTGCACACTCATATGACTTTTATTACAGGGGAAATTGTTGCTGTTAGCTTCTCTGAACGTCCGGAAAACACGCCAGTCATTTGTGTTTTTAGCTTGAGCGGCTAACGAGGACGTTAGCCTGTTAACTTTGTTGTTGTGTTAATTTAATGTTTTATGGTAAAATGCAGGAATTCCTACTGATGAACAGCAGGCCACCGGGCTGGAGAAGGTTATTCTGCACTCCATGAAGGCAGGAACGGTGAGTTCATAACAATAACAACAGCAATGAAAGCTTTTAACTGCTGGAATGTCAGTTCAAAGTTCCTTTTTAAATGGTGCAGCAGTTTCCTGAGTGAGCCTGAGGCGGTACAGTGTAACTTCCGCAGCATTTACGGTGGCGCGGAAATAGGAATACTTTTTATATCGTAATCGAAGTTTAAGAGAGCGCAATTTTATATCGCAAGATCTGCATTTTTTAATAAAGCCTATTAAAAACTTAGTCTTCAGTTTGAGAGGGAATATCTAACCTAATAACACAGAGCTTGTGAACTGCATGTAGATGAGTTAGACCAATCAAAGGCAACCAAACCCCGTGTGTTGTAACATCACAACCACAAGTTCCTGGTACACTGCATTCAGGGATCAAACCTCACGCCAGAAAAAGTGGATATTCTGAACTTACTGGCCAAAACAAACATGCCTGAACCTTAAACCTTGTAGATAATAATCACAATTTAAACTACAGTCACAATATTAGTCAGAAAAATCACAATTAAAAATTTTCCTCAAATCGTTCAACCCTAATTTAAGATGGAAGAGGAAGATATAGTTGACAATGTGATCTACATTAACTGTGCTTATTCCTTTAGGACCCTTACAGCATGCTGAAGCCTAAGCAGTACTCCGGCTCCAAGCAGGACCCTCACATTGTCCCCTCCGTCACCAACAAGAGGATCGTGGGCTGCGTCTGTAAGTCTGTTTTCACTACATCTGTTTTTATCCCTGTTCTGTCAGCCGGAGTCTGGTGTTAAATATGAGCGAACTGTTCTGCATGTGGTAGGTGAGGAGGATAATACGGCCATCGTGTGGTTCTGGCTCCACGAGGGAGAAGCTCAGCGCTGTCCGTCCTGCGGATCACATTACAAACTGGTGCCCCATGACCTGCCTCACTGACCGAGAGACACAGATGGACGAAGAGAGAAAGAGCGCCTTTAAATTCCAGTAACTTAAACGAGAAAACCTCATTTGCATTTGAATGTGTAATGCTCTTAATACTTGAGAGGTCATTCCGCCTGGTGTGGGAAACAATACAACTCCGAAAAAACAGTTTACATAAATTATACTGTACTGTGTATTTTACCCTTGGACCACTTACACCTAATAAACAATATGAACCTTAACGTGTCTTGTTCTGATATAATAAAGTCTGCATACCAGTTCAGTTAGTATTTTATATGTTCTCAGAAACTGGAGCTAAGAATTGCAAAGCAAAAGGTCATTTGCTGCTGATCTTAAAGGGGAATTCCACCAAGTTTTCCAACTTCCTGCACAATTAAGCTCCGTTCTAAAGAAACTTACCGAGCCAGAATTATTCACAGTGGTGGTGACGGGAACTAAACGTCCACCTCTAAAAGCTCCTTGACAGAAAGTTATTACATGAAATGGTTATGAATTCACCGCCTGTTGTCTGAGATGTTGTTTTATGATAGTTTTAAGAACTTAAAATCCATTCATGGTGGAGGAATATATAATATGCAGGACATTGTGAGGTAAAATAGTCCCCAAGAAACGTATTATTTCAGACTTTCTACTGTTTTACCATCATCATAACTCATAAGACGTGTAGGTTCACTGGTGGTTTAGGATAGTAAAATAAAATATCTATATTTGTGTTGGAGTCATGGCGACCTCTGGTTCCCATCACCACCATTGTAAAGAAACCTGAACCATTTCACACCAAACCATGCTGAATGACTGAAAAATTGGTGGAGTTCCCCTTTAATTTGCTTCAGTCACTGTGAACTCAAATATAAAGCATAGCTGGTGATCCGACAGTTACGGAGGTCTGTTGTTGGGATGTTTGAGGACTTCAGAGTCGCATCAGTAACAGCAGATATTTCCATATTTTTAAAAATGATCAGTATCGCAGTTTATGTGTCTGATGTTTCAGACAGATGTATGATGACGAGTGTATTGAACTCCAGGAGAACAGAGTTTTCAGGTGAAACTGAGTTTCTGCACTGAAACATCTGCATTTTGTTAATTATACTGTATTCATAACTCCACACAAATATAGGTTATATTTCTCTGTAATAATAATTCAGGTAAATTTAATCCCAATTTATGGCAGATAAGTACATGAAAATTGGTGAAATATGGTACTACACATTTGTCTCTGCTGTGAAGAAAATGTAAGAATGCACAGTGTTTCTCTCTGAAGATTTACACTAGAAGAGAGTCTGATCAGAAGCAGACCATCTTCAAACAATCACAGAGAATAAAGGAGTTATATCAGGACTATTATAAATAAAGGTAATATTATTGGGTTTTCTGTGACTTGTTAAATGAAAAGGACGAAATAATTCTTTCACAAATGTAGATAATCACATTTTAATAAAGCAATATCTGAAATAAAATAACATCTACAATTCATGATCGTGATCAAGACCTCAAAACTATTCATTAACTGTGCAAAACATTGGTTCTGACTAATTAGGTTCTGAATTTTGAAGTCTTGTACAGAACGGAAGTTCAGTGGAGTGGGGCGCTCTGGGCCTTGTCACTCGTCTAGACTGTCTTCTTCATCACTCGTTTCCACCCTCCTCCTCCTCCGCCAAGTCGCCCTGTCCGTCCCTCTCGGGGTAGTTAAGGATGCGCCGGTTGGCCTGAATGAGGAACTGCTGCTGCTTAAAATAAACTTTTAGTGCTCCTTTAATCACCACAAATGCAATTCCACCCTAAAACATACAAATACAGACAAATACAGGTTAGAGCTTATCAGCGTTAACCACGCCCACTACTGTAAAATCAGCCTAAACCATGCACACTAATACAACACCAGCCCTAACGACACCCACACCAGAATTAGCCACGTCCCATTGTTATACCAGCATTAACCTCAGTTGGCCACACCCACTAACGTGACACTGGCCAAGATTATCCTGCGTTAGCCAAACCCACCACTAATAACAGTTAGTTGCAGGTAAGCAGATGCTTACCAGAACAGTGCGCTGCAGGCTGGAGGGAACCCTCCGAAAGAGAAGCCGGCCCACCAGGCTGGCAATGGAGGGGAACACCAGTGCTCCACACAGCGTCCGGGACACAGAGATATGGTCACCACTGTAACCACCGTCAGCTGGAACACGGGGGAGGGGCCGACCAATACCTGCTCACAAAAACACAAGGCCCTGCATCAGTCACAGTAAATCTAACTAGCCTGTCAGGTCAGGGTAAAACTAACCAACCGACTAACCTGCTGAGTCAGGGTAAAACTAACTAACCAACCAACCTACTGAGTCAGAGTTAAACAAACTAATCAACAAACTTGCTGAGTCAGAGCAAAACTTACCAACCTGCTGAGTCAGAGCAAAACTAACTAACCTGCTGAGTCAGAGCTGAACTAACCAATCGAATGACCTGCTGAGTTAGAGCTTAACTAACAAACCTGCCGAGTCAGAGCAAAACTGACAAACCAACTAACCTACTACTAACCTAATTGTGATAATTAAAAGAGCAATATTCATTATAATTATCTTAAAGATGAGCAATAACAGACCATCCTGCTGTTTTATATGTTCATATGTTTTAATAATTTATATTTGGTAAAGTGTTCTTTCACTTTTGATGTCATTTATTTTATCTTTAATTCTGATCACAGTTGACTGAAACTGTAAACAGGACACTGAAAACTGCAGATCTGAGTGACACTCACCTGGAACGATGCTGCTCAGCATCTGCAGTTTGGCAGAATGGCGCTGCCACAGTCGCACGGCGTAATCTTCCCACCGAATCATCTTCCCCAGCACCAGCATTACAGGGATTGTGGGTAAACCCATCAGAAGGAAGAGGGGGTCTGCACGCTCCATAACATCCAAACCCTTCTTATGACCCACCACCTAAACAGACATTGCAGCGTTAAACTCTGATTCATCTCTATGATTCTGCAGCTCATCATGCTAAGTGAAGATGAGATGATATGAACATCTGTGTAATAACTGTGTAAATGTGTTGCTGTGGCTCTGCTCCGCAGGAAGACTGTAGCAGTAAAGCTGCTTACTTCCACTTTCAAAACACCTTTTATAAAAACTTATTAGAATTATTATAATCTCTGACTGTATGAGTCTCTTTAGGTTTTGTACTACAGCAAAATCATTGAAAATAACATTCGCCCCACACTTAATGCTGGTTTACACACACATTACACTGCGTTTATAGCGTCAAAGCACACAATGGCCATAAGAACCCCTAAAGAACCCTTCAGAAGCAGACCTGCATGACAGTGACAGCTCCGTAGGTGACCGCTGACCAGTACACTGTGCCCACCACCACGCCGGCAGCAGCAAACGGACTGACCCGGGACAGAACTCGATCCACCTGCTGCAGGAAATACACCAGAGGACCTGAAACAAAACACACTCACTCACTTATACAGAAAACTCTTACTGCCATCAAAGAGCCCATAGGCTACATTTTTCATGTTTCACTTGTCCTTTAAGTTCCACTTATGACATCTGTGTGGGTTTATATACAAAAAAACTTTGCTTTTTAGACTGGTGTATGTAAATGAGATCTGCTCTGATTGGCTGTCCAGTGTCGTAACTTAGGCTGAACCACTCCTAATAACTTCAGCATGAACAGCATGCTGTAAACTGAAGGGGCGGTGCTTAACTGCTGTAGGCTGAACTGAAAACACCAAACTCTTATTTAAGAAAACGAATAATGTAAAACCTCTAAAAAAAAAAAAATATTTATGAACTAATCACACATCAGACTGACACTGCAGGGTGGATGGAGATTCCTCGCTGATCTGAAATCCTTCCAACACTTCAGAGATGCCGCTGAATCTGGAGTTTACGCTGCTGCCAGAGCTCATCACACCTCACTGAATCTGGAAATGTTTTTGCTGAGATGCCGTATGTAAAGGCGTCAGCCCTTTACTGACAAACAAACTGCTCTGCTTCTGATTCATGAAACTTTCATACATCGTAGAATTAAGCGAAGACTGAAATCTGAGCACAAATGATGAAACAGCTTCAGTAAAATCATGTGCCAGCCGAGTCAGAGCAAAACTAACTAACCTGTTGAGTCAGAGCAAAACTAACTAACCTGCTGAGTCAGAGCTGAACTAACCAACCTGCCGAGTCAGAGCAAAACTGACAAACCAACTAACCTACTACTAACCTAATTGTGATAATTAAAAGAGCAATATTCATTATAATTATCTTAAAGATGAGCAATAACGGACCATCCTGCTGTTTTCTATGTTCATATATTTTAATAATTTATATTTGGTAAAGTGTTCTTTCACACACTTTTATATACTGGTATACATGCTGCAAACAAACTGCTCTGCTTCTGATTCATGAAACTTTCATACATCGTGGAATTAAGCGAAGACTGAAATCTGAGCACAAATGATTAAACAGCTTCAGTAAAATCATGTGCCAGCCTACCAGCACCTCATTTACATATCATTTACATGAAGCACACCCTAAATCATGCAAATATTTCTGCAGGGAGCCAATAAAACAACAGCGTTCAGCAGCTTGTGAGCCAATGGCTGTGCTCGTAGGCGGACTCTAAGGTGGAGCAGCGCATGCCCAGCTCAGATATGCATACATACATACATACATACACGCCACATTGGGAACAGCTGCTCTGTTTGAGCGGTCAATACTGCAGCTGGACAGAATTCAGTTCAGTTACAAAGCGTCAGTTTAAGAAAGATACCATCTAAAATAATATGGATTAAAGAACATGACGCTCAGAAAGAGTGACAGGATTAAATAACGGAGAGTGGATGTGCAGATATGACTGAGTGTTGAAATGGTGGTGTGATGTTTTTCTTCTGGGTTAATATTAAGCGTATTTCATTAATAACCCACACAGGGCATTAAACCACTGTATTATTGCAGCTTCCGATGCTAGCTGTATTTTGTATTGTTCATTTTGTGGGTGGAGTCAGTAGTACAAAACAAAAGCACAGTGTAAAATGTCTTTTAATGGAGAGAAATAGCTGCAGTGTTTGTTTGTACCAATGTGCATGTAAAATAACTACATCCACTCAATATCAATATTACTGTTATTTTCCATTTTTATTATTATTGTTATTACAGATCACACTAATAATAGTTTTGGTTTGTTAAGCACAAATCAGTTATTTTTCAGATTGTTAAACTACTGCAATCAAATTTACGTTCTATCACACGTGAATTTAATTGTACAGATACGCCAAAGATGAACCTGATCTATAAGAAAACTGTGGGTGAAATTTGTTTGTGTTCATTTTGTGATCAGATCTGACCAGCTCTGATGAATAAGAACTGCTGAGAAACTAAGTTTGTCCTGAAAAGTGTGAGTACTGACCCATTTTGGGGAAGACTATACGGTACTCGGTGCCACACTGTGGGCAGCTGACCGCTCCGCCGCTGTTGCCTTTCTGTTTCTCGTCCAGCCAGCGCTGCAGACAGGCCTGGTGGATCCACTTGGTGCAGCCTTTACAGCGGCATGGACTGACCCACTCGGCCACACGGTCTTCTCGCTCCGTCGCAAAACACACCCAGCAGTGCCTGAGGACAGAAACAGACAGCATGCAATTATTTACACACTTCACAAAACACAGCACACGATTAAGTACTAAGAAATGAACAGTCTACCTTTCAGGAGGTTCATCTGTAGAGGCCATGATCGATCACGTCAGGTCATCAGGCTGTTTGATCATCGGTCTTGTAGAGCAGCTGCTTTATTATCTTACCTACGGACAATATATAATATCAGAGCTTCTATCTGAGCATCATGAGCCTGAAAAACCTGGAACAGTTTTATCACAACAGAGAAAGGGAACCATTTTACTGCTAATGTTAATGTTAATGTCAGTTAAACCTTAAGAACAAGCTTTCTTATTCGAACTTTCCGTTCCACCTTAAATGGTGCAGCAGTTACATTCTGTCATTCTATTTACATCCTATAACTCAACCGTTTAAGGTGGAACAGAAAATTCGAATAAGAAGCTGCTCAAATAAGACGCCAACTTCAGCTTCGTAAGTTTAACCTCAGTCTGAATTCTGAAAACAGTCTGAAAATCAGTCAGCTGGTTTTAAGCGACTAACAATGATCGTACACCAGATAAACGACCTTAAACATGAACTCTTACCTCGACAAGACAGATTTATGAGAGTTATGAGTTTGTAAGTCGATGTTTACTGAGCCACAGCCACTTCCGCTTTAACAGCTGCACAAAGGAAAGTTACATCAACACAAAATAAAGGTCCTGAACTGATACAGAAAACAAAATAAACAAAATCAAATACAAATCAAAATAAATAAACCAAAATATAAAGATCAAAATAAACAAATTAAAATGCACAGATCAAAACAAACGGGTCAATATTTATGTCCAATAGCATTTGGGATTAATGTACATAACACACTAATGTACAGATTTTGCTAAATACCTGTTAAAAGTATTTGTGAAAGATCAAATAATTTTTTTTATAAATTAAAATAAAAAAATCAGTTTCTAGTACGTATCATTTATGAACTATTCAGTGAAAAGTGGCACAAGTGTCTGGTTGGGTAACAGCTGCCTTAAAAGCCTGCTAAAACAATGCAAAACAATAATAATGCAATTATTCAATATAATTCTATGTTGTTTGGACCAGACAGCTTTCCAACCTAAATACATAAAGTAAATATAAATTTAAAATATTGTATTTAGTTAAAAGAGGCTGCATTATTTAGACCAGCAAATATCAGCGTGATAAAACTAAGACATATGTTATTCACATGACATTTAAGCGCATTTTAGTACATGAAGTATGTGATTACGTAAATGTGAATTTATAAGGGAGATATGAGTTAAAGTAACCCTGCTGGAAAACCCAGAAACACATTTTCTGCTTGAACCTGTTTAACTACATAAAAAATCAGTGTTATATTTTACTCCTTGTTAGGTTGTGCTCTGCATTTAAACTGTAACCTTTATCTGTTTTATGGGACTCCTGTTTTATGGGAGCTACTCTTATTTAACCCAAAATCAAAGTGGTACTGTGTTTCTATTCATTAATTAATTTATTTTTAAGGGGGCAGTCTAGGATGTCTGATGTGTGACCATCTGATAGATAGATCACAGAAAAATACAAAATATTTTTTGTCATTTTTGTAAAAATTGTTTAGTGAAACAATCTGTAATTAAGAGTTCTCTTGTTTTGTACTTGAAAAATGCATTGCTAGTGCTGTAGACTTGCTAGTGCCAGAGACCTAAGTGTCATAGATCCATTAGCACCATCACCCTGTTAGCGATTTTCAAATCACTTTGGAATTCTGTATTTGCAGACCTTCTAGTGCCATAGACCTGTTATCAACATAGACCTGCTAGTGCCATAGACCTGTTATCAACAAAGACCTGCTAGTGCTACAGACCTGCTAACGCCATAGACATGCTCATGCCATAGACCTGTTATCAACATAAACTTGCCGGTGCCATAGATGTGCTAGTGCAGTAGACCTGCTAGTGCTATAGACGTGCTAGTGCCAGAGACCTGTTATCGACATCAACCTGCTAATGGAACAGACTTGTTAGTGACATAGACCTTCTAGCACCATTGACCTGTTATCGACATAGACCTGCTAGTGCCATAGACCTGTTATTGACATAAACCTGCCAGTGCTGTAGACCTGCTAGTGCTATAACCCTGTTATCAACATAGACCTGCTAGTGCAAGACTTGCTAGAACTATAGACCTGCTAGTGCCAGAAAACCTGTTATTGACATAGACCTGCTAGTGCTATAGACTTGTTATCGACAAAGACCTTCTAGTGCCATAGACCTGTTATCGACAGAGACCAGCTAGTGCTATAGACCTGCTAGCGTCATAGACACCCTAGTACCACAGACCTATTGGCACCCTTGACCAACTAGTGATTTAGACCTGCTAGCACCATAGACCTGCTAGTGCCATAAACCTATAATGAACATTGACCTGCTGGTGCTATAGACCTGCTAATGACAAAGACCCACAGTGCCATAGACCTATTAGCGACATAGAACTGCTAGTGCCATAGACCTGCTTGTGTCATAGATTTGCTACTACCATAGACCTGTTAGTGACATAGACCTGTTATCAACATAGAACTACTAGTGCTCTACACCTGCTACTGCCATAGACCTGATAGTTTCATAGACCTGACAATGGCATAGATCTGTTAGCGCTGTAGGATTATGTTACCTGTTAGTGTTATTTCCATGTTGGCAGCATTGCCATCTTAGTGTTATAGATACTTTTGTGAAAATCTCTTGTGCTGCTCCACATATTTGATCTATTTCAATATTTTTACACCTTATTTATTTTTATGCTCCCTGAGATATATACAAAAAAAAAATCGGCACCTCCCTCCTCTGTCGGGTCGAGACATATTTTGCAGAAATCCTATTGGCTGCTGAATCTGTCTGTCAGGGCGGGTTGGGTTGTGCCGTGTGTAGTTAGGTTGCCACATCGCCGGCCAGTCTGGGGTTTCAGCTGAGCTGCTGATTTTCATGAATAATAAACTTTACAACGGATTTTCTCTGAAGTAGCCGAGAGAAGAACGAGCCGATCTGCAGATTCAGAATGGAATCCTACGATATTATAGCCAACCAGCCGGTTGTGATTGATAATGTGAGTATGATGTCACCCATCCACACCCTGCGGTAGCATTAGCATAGCGGCTAAACTGCGGGACAATGGCAGGGCTGAGTTAGCTTAGCTTAGCTTAGCTTGGCTTAGATTAGCGCTGGTAGCTGAGCGGGGCTGTTTGTGTTTGCCCTGTTTCTGTGTTAACAGCAGTCTAAACCGCTATTCGGCAGTTCTTCATCTCCGCTCCGACTGTCTTCTCTCGCTTGCGGAGTATAAATGTCACGGACTGATTCTTATTCCCCGGCTTCTTATTCGAATTGTCCGTTCCACCTTAAACGGTGCAGCAGTTACATTCTGCCTGGCTGCACCATTTAAGGTGGAACGGGCAATTCTGATAGGAAGCTGTCACTGTTGCTAAAATGGCTGGCTGGTCTGGACCCCGCCTTGTAAACTGTAACCTAATTTAATTTAATTTAATAGAATTTTAAACAGTCAGAGTAAAATAGTGCTGACGGTGCTCGTAAAAGTCGTACGGTTGCAGTTTGATGCTGCTGAGATTACTGACGAATTCCTCAGATGTTGTTTACATCAGACTCCTTATGTACATAGTGAGATATCCCTCTGCTGTGTTTCAGAGGTGAATTCCACCGACTTTCAAAATTTCCCACACAGTTGACCGTTGAAATGTATAGTAATTGAGTGGTTTGGTGTAAAATGGTTTATATTTCTTTTAGTGGTGGTGATAGGAACCAGGGGTCGCCATGACTACAACACACATATTGACATTTTATTTACTATCCAAAACCACCAGTGAACCTACACATGTCTTCTGAGTTTTATATGGAATGTTGATGATGGTAAAATAGTGGAAAATCTGAAAGTTTCCTTTGGGGACTATTTTCGATGGATTTTACGTTCTCAAAACTACCATAAAACAGTGTTTTATTATCAGGCAGTGAATTCATAATCATTTCATGTAATAACTTTCTGTGAGGGAGCTTTTAGAGGTGGATGTCTGGTTCCTGTCACCACCACTGTGAACAATTCTGGCTCGGTAAGTTTCTCTAAAACGGAGTGTTTCACACCAAACCACTCTTAATGGCGTCTTGACCGTTTGCGGTATGCTGAGATTTTGTAACTGTAGTGGAGTTCTCCTTTAACTTCTTGTAAATTGCAGCAGTTGAGAGCATCACTTGTTCAGACTACCTACTTTTTTTAATCTGTGCTGGAATTAAAGTACAAATAAGTGTGTAATGGGTCTAAACACAAGTTATTCCCCTTTTAAGGGCATTTTCGTGCTAAGAGAAGATTCTCTCTTTCCCCCAAGCTTGTCTCATGACTGGATCAAAAAACAAGAGGAGCTCAGAGTGTGAAGAGTTTAACATTAGAGCAGAATCAATAAGGCCATTGTGCTGTCTCCTACAGTATGGGTGGACAGTATTACAATATTTTACAGTTATTGTGATAAATTACATCACAGTGTGATTTCTGATCAAATTGTGCTTGAAGAACGCTGACTGACTGTTTCATTACAGAGAGTAGAGCTGGGCAATATGACCAAAATATGATACATGATATGTTAGTTTATCATTTTAAAAATACTGTCACAGACTGTGAATGCAATGATTTTTATTTAATATTTGACACTAAAACTAAATATTGATAGATCTTTATTGATCCTGGAGGTTATTTTAGCATCACAGCAGCAGAAACATATAAAACTGTGACCATCACAAACACATATTAAATATCTGACATATCTGAAATATCTGATAAATATAATTTGTAGGAGATGTTGTGACGCATGTTGAGTATAGAGAAAATGTCATATTTTTGTCTCCTTGCTCACTACACTACATCCACATTCACGCTTTTATTCCCTGTTTGTATTATTTTTTTCTGCAGGGCTCCGGTGCCATCAAAGCTGGATTCGCTGGAGACCAGATTCCCAAATACTGTTTCCCAAATTAGTAAGTTGTCTTAATGTTCTTATTTTTCTTATTATTCTTGTTTTTATTTCTGTCACAGAGCTAACTTCTCATATAGTGTTCTTATAAAACCCAGAGTATCATTAATGCTGTGCTTGTATATTTTATAGTTTTGACATTATGAATTGAATTAATAGTGGCAATGATAATTATATCACTGACTGAGCTTCATATCTGCAGCTCTTGGAGTGTCTCACCCCTTTAAAGATATAAAAATAAACAAATAAATACATAGAAAAATGTAAAGACAGTGTAAATGTAATAACACAGTTACACTAAACTTCACTTTATGTGCTTCTCAGCTCTCTTTATTTAAGAATAATTCATATTTCTGTATTTAGTAACAGTCATTATTGAGTGATGAACATTAGAATAATATTTATATTCTTTAAATAGTTGGTGTTTGTGAACTGAGCTTTTCTGGGCCGCACTCTGGCTCACTGAGCAGGATTTCTGTCTTGTCCTTTAACTACAAACAGTCTTAATTCGAACACATCAGAGATGGCCCCCTGACCAATCAGACGGCGTTCTGCTCTGGAGCTAAAATAGTGTAATTTGCCAGATTTTGCGCCGGTAGTGTGATTGTGTAGTTTCTGATGCTGCTGTATGCTGTGATATAATCTCAGTGTGGGACGACCCAAACACGTGCGGGTGATGGCCGGTGCCCTCGAAGGTGACTTGTTCATCGGACCTAAAGCAGAGGTACTTCACACGGAGCTTTACATCTTCACCTTTCAGAGCGATAGTGTGTTTTATTCTGAATGTTATATATTTACACTGTGAATAAACACTGAAATACTTCAGAGTCAGAGCTGCTCGTTCTGATCAGTCAGTGCCATGATGTCAGAGATCTTCATTTACAGACACATGGCTGTGTTTATTATGCGTGTTTCTAAAGGATGTTAATCTTCTTTTCTCTAATTTTCTGTCGGTTCCGTGTATGCACACATGGAACAGGAACACAGGGGGCTGCTGTCCGTGCGCTATCCGATGGAGCATGGCATTGTTAAAGACTGGAACGATATGGAGCGGATCTGGCAGTACGTTTACTCCAAGGAGCAGCTCCAGACCTTCTCCGAGGAGGTGCTGATTCTTCTGCTTTTGTCCAGACTGTTGCGTTTGTAAGATTTATAACTGTGACGATGAGATTCTATGATTTTATTCTTTTGTTGTTTAATTACTTTGATGAGTTTTGATATGTAAGTGATAGCAATTCTTTCAAATAGTATTCAACATTTTCAAATTTTTATTTTGACTCACACCATATCAGATATATACAGTTAAGAACAGTCAAAATTATTAGTCCCCAAGGTGATACCGAATGTTTTCTTAAATTTCTCACCAATGTTAAGATCATTCCTAAAACTTTAGAGAGTAAAACATTCATCTATGTGAAAGCCCTCATTTGGTAGGTTTTGGATTTTTAATCTTTGAGACTGCTGTATAACAAATGTCTTGCAAACTGGGTGGTCAAAAATTGGCCCCCATATAAATTCTTCAAGAAAATTTTGAGAATTGAAATTCTCAGCTTTCACACCATCTGAACCCCATCTGACTTGACTGGAGCTGTCAGTCAGCACTGAGCTAACAGGGCCAGTGGTGAGAGAAGGTACTGAGGGGGTCCCGAGTGGCGCCGCCATCTAAGCGTTGGCCCTGTCATCAGGAGATCAAGAGTTTGATTCCTGGTGATGCTACAGCCGTCCGTGGTCGGGAGTCCAAGAGAGCACAGTTGTCCTCGCTCTCTCTGGGTGGGCAGTTTGAAAAGATGCGGTGGTGCTTCATAGGACTGCGAGAAAGCCTGTGCTAGCTTTCTTCTAGCACTGATGGTATTGTTTGACTGGGGGAGTTATGACTACTGGGTGGAATTGGACACAAGAAATTAGGGAGAAAATTGGGAAAAAAAGAAGGTGTTTTTAATGAATGCCCATCTTAAAACTTTAAAGCTATTTCCAGTGCAGTGGCCAGAACAGCTGCATGCTGCATCATCAAAAACACAAGGACACACATTAGGTTAGAAACAAACTTGGGCGTGGTCGCAAGTGCAAGATATCTTTTGGAGAAAAAACCCATCAGAAATATCAAGAACCCGGCTCCCGAGTGGCACAAGCGTCTAAGTGTTGGCCCTATCATCAGGAGATCGCGAGTTTGATCCCTGGTGATGCTACAGCCATCCGTAGCCGGCAGTCCAAGAGAGCACAATTGGCCTCGCTCTCTGGGTGGGTAGGATGGCCCCTCCCTCTCCCTCCATCACTCAGCGCGATGCTAGTCAGCGCAGGCGTCTGTTAGCTGACCTAACAGATCTGGCGGTTGGCGCTTTCCTCTGAGTGCGTTAAGCTGTCCAATGACGTTGCGTGAGCGGCAGTTCGAAAAGAAGCGGTGGCTGGCTTCACAGTTCTTGGAGGAAGCCTGTGTTAGCCTTCACCCTCCTAGCGTTGATAGTATCGTGTGATTGGGGGAGTCCTAACTAGCGGGTGGAATTGGAGACAACTTAATTGGGGAGATAATTGGGTAAACCCCCCCCCCCAAAAAAAAATTATATATATATATATATATATATATATATATATATATATAATATATATATATAAAAGAATATATATATTATATAAAAGAATATATATATATATATATATATATATATATATATATA